GCGAGCTGTCGGGCCGCGCGCCTGCGGTAGTCGCGCTCGCGCCCGGGGCGCAATCTGACGGTTTCAAGGTGCCCAGGCGGGTGGCTCGACATATCGATTGCCCAACTTCTGTTGATGAGCTAGTCCGTTGGGTGGGCGATCTCAGTGGCGACCCCGTCGCAGCCGCACTCGAGATGGCCGGTGTCCTGGTTGCCGCCGACAAAATACCAATGGGAAATGTCGAGCTTGCCGAAGCTACTTTTTGCTTTGAAGAGCTCTCCTGGCGCCTGGCAGCTACGAAGGGCATTCGACGGCGTTTCCCTGGCCGTGTACGACGTGATTGTCGATGTGTTCCCTGGCTGCTAGAGGTAATCAATGAGGAGTCTGATCACTTTGTCGGTCATGGTAAGTTCCATGAAATAATCAGCGAGCCCCAGCTTGGACGAATCCGAAGCGAATTGGACCGAGCTGACCCCATGGAACTTTCCCAATGCCCCAAATCCAAGTCCGACGAGCTGTGCTGTTTCAAGTCCGCCAGGGGCCGCAAGAAGAGATGGGCCGTGCTCGCCTCCGCCCTGAACCCCGCGGGGGTGCACCTCGCGGACCCTCGGGAAGCTGTTTCGGAGTTCAGTAGGCACTGTGGCAACGCGCATGCCGCTCGCGAGTGTTGCGCAGCCGCTCGAGAGGAACGTGCCGAATTTGCGCGGCGAGCTCCCGGGAGGGTAGGACATCGTCTGGAGTTCGAGGTCTTCTGCAACAGCATTCGGAGCAAATGCGATTCGGCTCCCGGCCCGGATGAGCTCTCTCACTCTGCCTGGCCGCGGGGGGGGGGGGGGGGGCGCGCTGCCTTGGGGGCCCCGTGCAACCTTTGCCTTCGCAGCTTGGATGCTGGCTTGGTGGGCGATCGGTTTAACTGGGCCCATGTGACGCTCATTCCCACGGGGTCCGCGGAGACGGACCGCTCCGACATAGTCAGCCCCGACTGCACAGGGCCGTTGACGTTAGATCGCGCAGGCGGCCTGCGCAGTGGATCAGAGGCGGTTCGTCAAGACTGGGAACATGGCTAAGAATATCTTCGATCTGGAGGCTGGCGGCCCGGCCTTCTCCATCGTCTTGTCCAGCGCGGTTCTAGGAACAGTGGCTACATATGATTCGATATGCGGGCTGCTTCCCCCTCCTATATTCGCGGCGCGCTTTTCTGGTCCGTCTCTCTTGTGGGGATTCCGAGGTCTTCGTCCGCCGGATCAAGGCGTTCTGTTTGAAATTGTAGTGCCACGTTTTGCCCCCGCAGGCCTCGCGACCGCGGCTTCTGGGTCCTTCGCGGGATTAAAGTATCCCAGTGCGACCCGACCTAGGAGTTGGAGCATCTAGGAAAGCAACATCTACATCGACACCGACAGCTACATTCACATCTACACCTGCATCTACATCTACATCAACATCAACAGCGAGACTCACATCTACATCTACATATACACCTACATCTACACCTACATCTACATCTACATCTACACCTACATCCACATCTACACCTACATCTACATCTACATCTACACTGTCGCATTGCTTTTGATTTTGCTTTGCATTGCTTTACTATGCTATGATATGCTATGCTGTGCTATGCTGCGCTATGCTATGCTATGCTATGCGTTGCTGTGTTATGCTGTGCTGCGCTGTGCTATGCTAAGCTAAGCTGTGATATGCTATGCGATGCTATGCTGAGCTAGGATGTGCTATGTTATGCTATGCTGCGCTATGCTCTGCTTCGCTATGCTATGCTATGGTATGCTATGCTATGTTATGATATAATATGAAATGCTATGCTAATGCTGCGCTAAGCTGAGCTAAGCTAAGCGAAGCTAGGCTAGGCTAGGCTAGGCTAACTTAAGCTAAACTAAGCTAGGCTAGGCTAGACTAAGCTATAGTAAGATGAAGCTAAGCTAAGCATAGCTCAGCCAAGCTAAGCTAAGCTAAGATGATATAAGCAACGCTAAGCTAAGGGGACGTAACTGGGAGAACCGCGGGGCGGATGCCGGGGGAACCGCCCGGGGCGATTTGCACTGCCCGGCCCCTTTGAGCTAAGGGCAGAGCCTAGGTAGGGAACAAGGGCATCATATGTCGGGTGCTCTCTGGGCCACTGCTCTCGATTCAGCCGTGAGATTTGTGCGCCCCCCGTTTTTTCAACCCCGATGACCTCGCGCGGAGCTTTCGCCGATGACGGCGGCGTGGCCGCCGGCAACATGTTTGGCACTTTGAATATTCCTATACAGGTCTGGGCCGAAGGTGGCGCGCGCCTATGAACTATGCATTCGCCCCACGAAGATGGTTGATCTCCCCAGGCAATCTATCTCATGGTGAGATCGCGCAGAGACAGCGACTTCTCTCGCTTCGCGGCAACAAGTGGACCGTTGCCCGACTGGGGCGATATCGGGGGCGCATGATTGAGAGGGGCCCACATTGATCGGGCTGCGCCGCTTCTATGATTAAGCATGTCCTGAGGGTCGAGCAGGCGAGGGGCTGCGGGGCCGGGGTCACTTAGATGATTTCGCGCTGTATCACGTCAGTGTTCGGGGATAAGATTTGCAGCATGTTCCACCGACCCCTGCTACGCTGCCGCTGAACGCTCGGGAATTCAGAATCTCGCGGGAGGACCGAGGAATGCGATCGCTACCCCCAGTATGGAGCGTCTGAGAGAGATCAACAATGTCGCGATTCGAGGTCAGTGTGGGGCGCAGCTATGTATCGCGGCTGGCATTTCCCATCCGTGCTTCGTGGGCCCCGAAAAGGCCTCGAGGACTCTGACGACTGTCGTATTCTGTGGCAGCACGATCCACTGTGGGTGCTTTTCTTCCATGAGCTTGTCCGCAATATCGCTGCGTCTGTCGAAAACATAATTGGGCCCCCCGGGATCACCGCCTGAAAGCCCCAGAGAGCCACCGAATCTTTTCTGAGGAGTCCTTGTACTTCGGAGGTTCGAGAGATGGTTCAGCGTCGTATGTGTCATCATTTAGTTCCCGAAGTGAGCGTGGCCCAGGTAGACCGCGTCATGTTTTCCTCCCTCGGTTAAATGAGCATGTTCACTGTTCTGTGTCCTGGAGTGTTTTCGAAACGGCGTCCAACTGCTGGTGCACTTCCCGAAGATTTAGGTCTGAATCCCGACCCTGGTGCTGACTCAACGCAGCACGTGCTCATCTATCCTCGGTCCGCTTTCTTTTTACTGCATCTGCCTCGTATTCCTTCTAACTCTACCTCCCCTGCTCGCCTGCGGGCCTCCTCCCAACTTGCTTGCCACTGCAAGCGCAGTTGCCCTCTGCGCTTCTTGCTGCGGCCACCTGTCATACATACCATTCCCGTACATTCGCATGTCAGTCGGCCTCGGCTTCTACAGTCGGGGCCCTGAAGAAGGAACCCTTTTCGTTGGGGAGGGGCTCCGCGTTCCTTAAGTGCTTCAAAGCTTGCCTCAGGTGTTCATTGTGCTTTCGACGGGAAGTCGAAGGTTCACTTATGGAAAAAAGAGGCCTTCTTCCTTATTTAGGGGTTCCTTAGGTCAACGCCCCGACTGTATCCTAGACCGGCTCGGGAGAGCCAGGCCGATCCCAGCCCAGGCCCCCTCGTCGCTGCGGTCTTTGCCGCGCTGGCCGGGGCGGGCGCCCCCGTGCTGCCCCCGCCGAGGGGCTGCACGGACTCGGCCGGCCACGGTTTCGGTGCAGGGTCGGGCCGGCCTGCGTCTTAGCCGTCCCCGCGTCAGGTAGCGGGATCCTCCTCCTCCTCCTCCTCCTCCTCCTCCTCCTCTTCCGCCTCCTCCTCCTCCTCTTTCTTCTCCTCCTCCTCCTCCTCCTCCTCCTCCTCCTCCTCCTCCTCCTCCTCCTCTTTCTTCTCCTCCTCCTCCCCAATGCGTCGCCGCAGCGGCGGCCGCCGTGGCTGGCCGGGAGCAGTCCTCAGGGCCCCCCCTCAAACCAGGGCATGGCAGACCGGGCCAGTGAAAAGGTGCCACCCGGAAAGCAGGAAGAATGGAGGATGTTTCGGCCCACGGACGCAGTGTGTTCTCTGGCGCGCCTGTGTCCTGGTTGATCAAAGCTCCCGCTAGTAGGGGGCCCTGAAGTCCCGCCCGCCACGGCCCATGTCGATCCGGTGGATTTGATGTCGCTCGATCCGAGTCGACTCTGGCGTTCCAGGCATGCGCTGCGGCTCGATGCTCGCGTGGTGTTGCCGTGCAGCTCGGCGCGGCGAGAGTCCGGTTCGGTGTCGATGTTGTGCCGATGCGGCCCGATCCGACGCACGTGCCGATCCGGATTCGGTGCCGACGGATCTTGCCAGCGGCGGCGCACTGCACGCACTCGCGTCGGTGCGATTTCTGGCGCTGCGCTGGCACTGGACGCCGCCGCGGCGGGGAAGTCGCACCGAAGACGTGGGACCCCAGCTCCGTGCAGAAAGTTGGACTGGCCGATCTCGGAGGAGTCGAAAGGTGCCGTTTCCCTCCTCCTCCTCCTCCTCCTCCTCCTCCTCCTCCTCTTTCTCTTTTCTTCCGATAGTAGGCAGTGAGACGTGTGAAGCGAAACGCCCAGGCCGACCTGCTGACACGTCTGGTGGTGCGACAGGGAGCAGGCGTTTGAACGGAAAGATATGAAGGAGATGCGGAGGAGGAGGAGGAGGAGGAAGAAGCGGAGCCGGAGGCGAGGGTAGAGGGAACGGAGGAGGAGGAGGAGGAGGAGGAGGAGGAGGAGGAGAGAGGAGGGAAAAGGAAGGAGGAGGAGGAGGAGGGGAGGAGGAGGAGGGAGGAGAGAGGAGGATGAGAGGCGGAGGAGCAGGAGGAGGAGGAGGAGGAGGAAACCGGAGAGCAGGAGGAGGATGAGGAAGAGGAGGAGGAAGAAGAAGAGGGCCTTTCCCGTCTGGCAAGGCCCAAGGATGTGCAGTGATAGTATCGGGAAGTACAGTCCCATCCTGTTGAGGTCAGCTGGGGGTACCTCTGTGGGCTGTCTATTCGAACGCTCTGGCTTTTCGCGAGGGAGGGTCACTTCTGTAGCCATTTCGGCTCAAGGCCGGTCGCGGCCCATCATGCTTTACAGATCCAATACTTTACCCCGGTCCTCGTTCGGGCTTCATTCTTGGGGTCAGAATGGACGATCTCATATCCTCGCTTGCCAACATCGTCCAGGTGTCGGACATCGGCTTCGAGAGCCGTACCAACTCTGTCAGTCAGGCCTTCGAGCGCAATCTGGCAGAGGCTTCGTACAGGCCCCTCTCCCTCCTTCTTCCGACGCGCTCTTCCACAGACTGCCAGGATGCTGAATACACACGACGAGGCCAGCCTGGACCAGAGCTGGACATACACACGTGGCCACATGTTTCTCAAGCGCCTGGCCCCTGTACGGCCAGGCGCGCTGGCCCTTCGAGTGTGTATTCCGCGCGAGGCGTGCGGATGCTCCACATGTGAACCCAGCCACGCGTGCTTCCAGCTTTCAGGTAGTCTTCCTCCTCTTCCCGTTGGTATGCGTTTGTTTCTTAATAATATTATTATTATTATTATTACTGCTACTGTTGTTATTCCCCTTCATCCTTGCAGGATCCAGCGTCAGCAGTTGCATCGCGAGGACATTAGGGACCTCATGGAGCTCACTGTCGGGCGCATGGACCTGTACCACGTCGTAGGCCTCCCCCTGCCCCCTTCTCGGTGCAAGCCTCTGCAGAACGAGCCCCCCGCGCAAGCATCAACTCTCGGAGGTCCCCGAGGACTTCTTGGGTCGGCAGTAGAATTGTGGAAGTCGATTAATGGAGAGAAAGCATGCTGCCAAATAAATGCCAGATGTCTAAAACATGTCTCAAACATGTTCAAGGTGTGTTTCAAACATTTCTCAAGACGTGTCTGTACATATTTAAAGCATGCTTCGAACATGCTTTGAATATGTACAGACACGTTTAAAACACGTTTAGAACATGTGTTTACACACGTTGAACACACCTGCACTTCAATGACAGGATCGTCAGAGTGTCCGCCGTCATGACATCCACAACAGCAGATCCTCCGGCGCGCTCCGCGCGCCCAGGGCATATATAGGGGGGCACCCACCGCCGACCCGAGCACGCCGTGCGCACCTCCGGCCGTGCATGCTCATGCTTTTGGCACCGCTCGGACGTGTGCATGTCTTCCTTCGGCGAGGACCATCGAGGAGCATCCTGGATCACCTGGCGAAAAAAACAACACGCACGAAACCGAAAAACAAGCACGGGGAATGGACGTCCAGGCGATGGCGAGCGTGTCGTCACTGGCCCCCGGGCCGGTGCCGCCCGTCCGGGGGCTCTCGGGAGGTGCCCCGCTCCCCGTCCCCTTCCCCTCCCCCCCCCTCCGATTTCGGTGTCGCCCGCCTCGCGTCGCTCTCCATTCCCTGCCGTTCTCCCTCCTGCCCTTCATCTTGCAGTCTCCACGTTCGCACAGACTCAAAAACGCCACACCATTCACTTGCCACCACCAGCCCTCCCTTCGCCGAAACCCCACTGCACACATACATCTGTACGACCACCCTTCGGGTGGTAAGGAGGTGGTGGGGGGGGGGTGGAGGGGGGGGAACCAACATCTAACTCAATCGATCTCACTATCGATCTCATTCAAAGGGACACCACGGGACACCACAGGACATTTGTCGATCTCACTATCGATCTCACTTGACGGGCCACCACGGGACACCACGGGACACCACGGGACACCTCTCGATCTCACGATCGGTCTCACTATCGATCTCACTATCGATCTCACTCAACGGGACACAACAGGACACCACGGGACACCTCGGGACCACACATCGATCTTACTATCGATATCACTATCGATCTCGTTTGGTGTGATGAGTGGCTTACAAGTCTCCTGGCAGGACTTAGTAAGTCCAAAACAAGCCAGTGCGTTTTCCGTCTGGATGGTGCGTTTTCCGTGGGGATGGTACATTTTCCGTCGGGACGGTGCATTTTCCGTCGGGGCGGTGCTTTTTCATTCGGGCTGGTTCAGATCAAGTTTTTGCATCGCACGCAGTATGTATATATCGCGCGTAAGCCAGGCTTGCTTGTCGGAAATGAACGTTGTTGATTTGATTGGTCCACTAAGGTGCGGACAGCGTCACTGACTGACCGGACAGCCTTGCAAACGTTTTCGAACGTGCGTTCGTTGCCGGAGGATAGCGTGCAAACCGCGGTGCAACTTGTGGCGCAATGGATGGCGCAACCTGCGACGCGGCACACGAAGCGGGACATGACCGCGCGCGCGCTATGACCGCGCCGTGCCCATGCCAAGCGTTGAACCACTGGACGGACCGTTGATGTAGCCGCGGTCTTCGCTGTAGGTTGAGCCATGGTTTGTGCTACGCTTGCGCCATGAACTGCAAGGTACATTGCAAAGTGGGCGCGCCATGGGTTGCATCATAGGTTGAGCGATGCGCGATTGTTTGCACCATGGGGCGCGCCGCGGGGTCGCTTTGAGTTTTACCGTAGGTTGCGCCATTCCTGCGCCGCACGACTTGCCAGTTCGCCATATTTTTTGTTGGACCAACGCGAGGTAGTCCCCGATCAATTTCAGCATGTTCCAGCATACGTCATACCTGGGAATGCACAACACATGATCAAGTTGGTGCGTTTTCCGTCGAGATAGTGTATTGTCCGTCGGGGTATAGTGCATTTTCCGTCGGCATGGTGCGTTTTCCTCCAGGAGCGGGGAGTTGCTAACGCCCTCGCAAACACTTGTAAGTCAAGCTGTAACTAAGCAAATCCCCCGTCGCAGCCGCGGCCACAGCCGCGGACGCAGCCGCGGCCGCGGCTGGAAGAAGAGAACCACCGCGAGAAAACCGCGATAGCTCCCCTCTTCCCAGCCACGTCCGCGACCACGATCGCAGCCGCAGCCGCGCCGCAGCTGGAAGAAGAAAACCGTCGCGAAAAATATCGCGCCCATCCCAGTCCGACCCCCGTCCCGGCCACGGCCTCGGGCGCCGGACCTGGTGCCAGCCCCGGCCCCGGCCCCGAGAGCGAGAACCGGGGCCTCGGGCCCCGTCCCGACCCCGGCTCGGCGGCGGGCCCCCCTTCGAGGCCCTCGCCCGCAAGCGGCAACATACCCTCCTCGCTTTTCCCCTCCACCAGGGCCCCATGCCCCCGAAAACGGAACAGGCCCACCCCCCTCCCCCCTCCAGAGCGAAACGAGCCCCCCGCCCCCCCCCCCTCTTATGGAAAACGGAACAGCACGCTGCGAGGGAATCCCCCCCGAAAACGGAACAGGCCCTCCCCTTTTCCCTTCCCCTTTCAGGGTTTCCCCCCCGAAGACGGAACAGGCCCCCCCGCGCCCCTCCAAAGCGAAACGAGCCTTCCCATCCCCCCGAAAACTGACCTCCGCTTCCCTTCCAGCGCGAAACGAGCCCCCCCCTCTAGAAAAAGAAACGAGCCCTGGCCCCTCCTCCCTCTCCAGAGCGAAACCAGCCCCCCCCCGTCAAACAGGCCCCCCTCCGCGTCCCAGAGCGAAACATAAGCGATCTCAAGCCCACGCCCTTTGAAACTCGCACGCCAGATCGGCGGATTCATTTTTTAGGAATACCCGCTGCAGGCACCCTGCTTCTCACCTTCTGCATCTCCTGGTACACGGAGAACGGCATAGTTTCCAGCCCGCTGCCCAAGTGGTTCGCAACGCTCTTCCTCATCAGCAACTTCTGCGCGGTCGGCTACCTCATCTTCTCCGTGTGGCTCGCGATGCACGCCTCCATCATCGCCCACTCCGTGGGCGTCCGGCTGCTCACCAGCTTCGCGCGCTTGTCTATACCCTCGAAGGCGTAAAACAGGGCTAGGACCGGGATAAATCTCTCCAAAGCGTTCCGGAGCGCTCTCAGAGCGTTCCGGAACGCTCTGGAGCGGCCGCGGCGCCCAATACATCCTCCAAACCCGCCGATTCTCAGAGATTTCGAGTTATCCCGATCCGATTTTGTCCCGATCTTCGCGTCGTTTTAGAAGGCGGAGCTGGACAGCATGCGGACGTCGATCTACCCGCTCCTCATTCCGAGAAGTTGTCTTTTCCTTCCGGGAGGGCCGTTTTAGCAGCCACGGTTTTGGCAGCCCTCGCCCAGCTTCCGGTATACCCTCGAAGGCGGAGCTGGACAGCATGCGGACGTCGATCTACCCCTTCCTCCAGACCTTCCTGGACCTGGGGGCGAGGCTGCTCTCCTCGGCCCCCGCGGGCGCCGCGGGAGGCGACGCGCCGGCCAGGAGCCCCCGGGGCGGGGGGGGGGAGGGAGGAGAGGGAGGAGGAGGAGGAGGAGGAGGAGGAGGGAAGGGAGGAAGGGGAGGGAGGAGGAGAGGAGGAGGAGGAGGAGGAGGAGGAGGGAGGAGGAGGAGGAGGCGTGGGGCAGCGCCTCGGTGTCCCGCGCGCGGGGTGCCGGGCCCTTGGTGGGCGGGGAGTCGCCGCCCGCGAGAGGACCCCGAGCAGGAAGCAGTCCGAGGCGTGGAGGAGCCGCAGGGGCAGCTCCTTCGACGCCGCCGACCAGAAGAGCTCCGCGGCGGTCGGAGAGGCCAGGACGACCCGCGTCGCGACCGCCGCGCCCACTCCTCCTCCCTCCTCCCTCCTCCCTCCCTCCCTCCCCCTCCTCTTTCCTCCTCCCCCTCCTCCTCCTCTTCCTCCTCCTCCTCCTCTTCTTCCTCTCCTCCTCCCTTCTCCTCCCCCCTCCTCCTCCACCCCCTCCCCCCTCCTCCCCCTCCTCCCTCCCCCTCCTCCTCCTCCTCTTCCTCCTCCTCCTCCTTCTCCTCCTCCTCCTCCTCCTCCTCCTCTCCCGCGAGCGGGGCGAGCGTTCCAGGAAGGGCCTCGCCCTCCAGGGTGGTCGAAAGAGCTGACGTCTCCTTCTCGGCGGAGGGCCCGTGGAAGCAACGCGGGACCCCTTCCGCCGCTGTCGGAAGGCCGGCGGGAGTAAGGCAATCGCTTCAGTAGGTTCGATTACACGTTTTTTTTTCATTCGCGGGTCGAGAGCGCACCTCTTCCGTAGGTTCGATTACACGTCCTTCGCCAGAGTGACTTTTGGTGCGGGCCCATTGGGGCCCCCGATCGCCGAACGCGAGGCGGCAGTTGCCTCTTGCGCGCTTGTGTTTGGCCCCCCCCCCCCCCCCGCGGCCCCCACAAAGCTGCGCACCAAAGGTCACTCTTACCCAGGGTAGCCGATAGGTGACAATTTCTGTTGGTTCAGGTTTTTCTGGAACCCACCAAATGTACTTACCCCTTCCTCACCATTCCTACTCTCGATGATAGCCTCAAAGAGTAAACGACTGCCAAATATCAGCCAGCGCAGACTCCAAAAAGGTCAGAGGACTGAAAAGACGCGGACTAAAGTGGACCGAAGTAGACTTGGCCTGGAAAAGACTAGAGTGGACTTGGCTGGACTCTACTCCTCTCTATTATATTATACTCTTTTCCACCCGACTCGACTCTACCATGTATCAGGTCCGATTATATCATGCTGTAGCGCCTACCCTACCCCATTATACTCCTATTGTGCGCCTGTTATACTCTACTCTGCTCCTCTTCTGCCCTACTCTAACATGATCTCCTCTACTCTACCCTGCTCGATGCCACCCCACTCTACTTTACCATCTACCCCACTCTGCTCAGCTCTGCTCTTCTCGACCCTCTTCTCCATGCCAGTTTGGCTCAATAGTTTCCGTGTGTTTTCACGGATACCGCTGGTCCGCGGCCAGTTCTCCATTGTTCCAAGTCCAGGGTCTGCCCTGGCGCTCCATCTCCAAAAGCATGGGGCCGCCGCCAGAAGCAGAGCATGTGGTGCTGGGCGGGCCGCGGACGCCGCACTGGCTGTGCCCCTGTGGTTTCATCGGCAACTGGGCGTCGAGGCTTCAGTGCGGCGAGCGCGACAACAAGTGCTCCTCCAAGGTCGAGCGCGGGGCATGGAAGAGCCACGAACTCGCGGGGCCCAGACGCAGTGGAACACCCTCACCACAGGGAGCGTGGGCACCACCAGCTGCGTCAGCCACGGAGCGCACACCCTGGGATCGCAAGGGCTCTTCAAACAGCAGGCCCAGGAAGCCGAGGACCTCGGGAATACCTTCTCGGACTTCAAGCGCGAGGCAGCTGCAGCTCAGCAGGCAGCCTTCATCGAGCCCAAGACCGAGGTCGGAGGAAGCGAAGCAGGCAAGGACATGGCTGTCACGCTTGGGAAGCGAACCGCCAGGCATGAAGGACAAGCCCGACAATAGGCCCCGACTCTGGGCTGGTTCCAGGCACGGGAGCACAAGCTCGAGCAGCAGAAGGGCAAGCACGTCTGCAAGCTCGGCGACCTCGAGAACCAGATCGTGGAGCAAACCGAGCGCGAGAAGCAGCATCGCAACGAGCTCGATGGCCAGCTCGTCGGGGCGGAGGCCAACATCAAGAAGGTACACAGGTCGGCGGTCGGAGGAGCAGGTCTTGAAGGGCGGCAGCCGAAGCCAGGAAACCCCGGCACTGCATGCAAGGTAACGCCAGGGTCGACGCGGCCCACGAGGCGCCCCCCGCCATCCTCCAGGAGGCAGTCGACGAAGCCAAGAATGAGACCGACGCAGCCATGGAGGGGTCTGCAGGCGGGGTTGGTGGCGGTGTGACTGGTGCTGATGGCGTGCCTGCTCGCATCCCAGTCCAGGCGACGGCGGCGGAGGCGCTACTCCACCTAAACAAGAACGAAACAATCATCTGGGGCGATCCAGACCTGCTGGACGACCTCATTGAAGGACCGACAGCAGAAGCACCAGAGGTCAGGAAGAAGCGTCTCGCGGTCATCCAGGCAGCAGCAGCAGCAGCAGCCAAGAGGCAGAAGGTTTAGCGGCAACGGGCGCCTCATGGTCAACGCCAACGCCGACCCCCAGCCTAGCGACGTCCGCTGGGTCGAGGGGCAGATCGACTGGGGCTCGGCAAAGCATGCCAGGGACAAGGAGTCAGGGCCCAGTCAGGACACGGGCTGGTGCGCTGCCAGTTCTCCTGCATGTTTCCACGTCCAAGGCAGCCATCGGCATCCCATGCCCAGAAGCATGGGCCAGTCACCGCCAGAAGCAGATTTCGTTGGACCTCGCAAACCAAGGACCCAAAACCGGCCGTGCCGCAGTGGATTCGTCGACGGGGCCGCCCAGACACCGCTGCGGGGGCTCCACCGCCAGCGGCGCCACCCCTCGACGCAGGCGTCGGCCCCAACGCGGAGTCGGGGGAGGCGAGGCTTTACCGGGGGGCGATGCACCACCCCGACTGCGGCCGCGCCGACGGGGAGAAGCACGAGTGCGACGACAGCGCCATCTTGCAGGAGGTTATCCTGAGGCTCGCCGCCAGCTGGGCCCCGCACATCCTCCGCGACGACGTGTGCGCGGGCGCGCAGCGGCGCATCTCCCATGTCCGCGCCAAGCTGCATCTGCCGTCCTCCGACCGCGTTTTCTAGGGGGCGGGCGACGAGCGCCCGCCATTCCTCCGGCGGCCGGCCAAAGACGCGTGGGGCAAGGGCGAGTGCAGGCGCACAGCGCTCATCGAAACCAGCGTTGGGCTCGCCGATGAGGACCAGGAAAGGGGGCGTCGGCAGCAGCGAGAGCAGTGCGAGCGGCTCAGAGGTTGGCGCCCTCGCGTCGCGCTCACGCCCCGACGATGCTCGGCCTCGTCAGCGCCTCCCCCCCGACATCGGCGTCGACGCCAGCGACCGCGCCGCGGGCGTCCAGCTGGAGGAAGGAGCCCTACCCCGCGTCGCTCCGCAGCCTCGGAGGCGGGGCACATGGGGGCGCCGACTCCAGGCCCAGACCAACCGCGGCAGCGGCAGCGGCGGCGGCAGCGGCAGCCGCAGCTACTGGCGAGGCCGGCAGACCAGCAGGCACCGCGGCCGCGGCGTCAGCCCCAGCACCCAGCCCGGCAGGCTCGCTGGTCCGCTTACTCCGAGGGAGGGGCGGTCGCCCAGTCGCGCTCAGCAGGCGCGGCGCCCCGCTGGGGGCGGCGGATCAGGGTTCCAGCGGCGGGCCCGCGAGCTCCGCCAGGCCTGCCGCTCCAGAGGCGGGGCGCGCTTCCATCGCCCCCGCGGAGTCGGGCCCTCGGCTCCGCGGCGGCGGAGATGGCACAAGCGGGGAGGCAGCTGCAGCGGCGGCCCCCCCCTCCATCAGTAGCGGGGGCGGCGGGTGCGGCGGCCCCCGCTACTCCAGCCTCAGCAGCAAGCCCGACGTCAGCACGCTCGAGGCAAGTGGCGCCGCCCATGGCAACGCTCAGCATGCGCGGCATCTCGCTAGACGAAGTCGAGGACCCCCGTCTCCGGGCGGGGAGGCGCCACCGAGCTTTCCGATCCCAGGGCGCCCCCGACGGCGCCGCCCAGGACGGCGGCCCCAGCGGCGGAGAGGAACTCCTCAGCGTGAGCCAGCTCCCATTTCCGTTTGCGCTCGGCTCGCGCTCGCCCGCCTCGCCCCCGGGCGCAGACCCGCCCTTCGCGCGGGAGGCCCGTCGGCGACTTGGCCGTGGGCAAGTGCCCCACCTCGACGCGGGGTCAGCCGTGCATCCGTGGGCGCGCTATTCTTCTCGAACCAACGCTACTGTAGTGCTATTCCACCCTATGTTTGTGCTACGTTGCTCTGCTCCGCACTGCTTTACTGCGTCCTAGTCATCTACTCTACTCTGCCCGGCTCTACTCTGCCACTCTGATGCATTCGACCTTGCTGTGCTCTGCCCCACTCCACTGCTACTCTAATGGGTTGCATTCCTTTTGCTGCTCAGCGCCATACTTTGCCTTATTGTATTCTAGTCTACTCCGAGTCGGCTTTAACCTTTCACCAGATCGGAATGCTCTTACTCTGCCGACAACGGAGGATAGTAACCGTATCTGCGTGGCCCCATCTTGTCTGCCCAAAAACCACACAAAGGCATTGTTTTGTTCGACGCAGCAGAATGCGCGGCAGGAGTGGGGCTCGGCGCGCATCCCGCGCGAACAGCCGCAATGCCGCTCTCGCCTCGGCACTTTGCTTATCTGTTCCAGAGAATTGAGGTCCCGCTGGGGCGCGGCGCACTCCTTTCTCATGCAGATCCGCAGACGCGCGGAAGCGGACGAAAACGCTGTTTTCGCTTCGGCGCCGCGCGAATTTCGCCCGAGAGTGGCATTCCCGCCTCGACGCGGCGCATCTGTTCCAGTTGTTTTTTTTTGCTGGGGGGCCCCCGCGCGCGTGGGCGACTTGGCGCCCTCGCTCGAGCTCCGCGCGCAGCTCGTTCGGGAGGGGCGCTCCCGCGCGAGCACCGCGCGTGGCCCCTTTCGCCGCGCCGCGCGACAGCGACGCTGCGCGAGAGCGGGAGGATAATGCCGACACAGACAGCTGCCGAGACAGCTGCCGACGCCGGACGGGTGCGCTCGGAGCACGCGGTGCACTGAGAGGCATTTTTTGCGATCTGATTTCGATGGTTGATGTTCCTCTGCAGTGCCGCAAGCAGGAGAATGCCGATCTCGTCCAACCGCCGCGCATCTTGCGACTGACAGTGGCGGCGCCGTACCAGCGCAGCGCGTGCTTCGTCTTTCGCCGCGCTCATCGGATGTCGCGCGGTTCCCGCCCCATGCGCGGCCGCGCGGCCTGCCTCATTTTCCCCTTTCTGCCGTGTCGTCGGACGCGGGGCCGCGCGCGGACGCCTCGTCGTTTGCGAGGTGGGAGCGCGTTCCAGTCCCCATATCAAGTCGTGCCACAACTGATCCCCTATGCTGCAGGAGAGAAGGCGGGCGGGGCCCTCTGCCTGGTCCGACCGGGCGTCCGACCCTTACTCTATTCCTACTCTGCCCCAGTTTATAGTATTTTCTTATGGTGTACTCTGTTCTGCTCTATTGCACTCCCTGCGGGAACAGAAGGAACCATGCGGACAGCAGAAAAAAAAACCATCCGCACGCAGAGGACGCCATGCGCATGACAGAGGCTGCCATGCGCACGGGAGGCTGCCATGCGCAACGCAAGCTGCGCACGCAAGGAAATCCATGCGCATGGCTTGACCGTGCGAGGGCAAGCTTGATGGGGGCGTAGCACGGGCCAGTTCTCCAGGCATATCGCTAGACCTCCTCTAGGCAGTCCTGTTGGGACAACGTGCGCACTCGAGGGTCCGCGCGGGTTTCCTGGCTCGGCGCTGGGACCGCCCCTGGCGGCGTCTCCAGAGTCACCCCTGGCGCCCTCCGCGCGCCAGGGGGGCGGGGCCCCGGCGCCGATCCAAGAGATCCCCCTTCGGACCTTCGAAAGTTTCTGCTGATGTGCAGTTTTTCCCTTCTTCTGGACATGGCGACAGTCGAGGTCGAGGCGCTGAAGTGAGGACCGCTTTGGGCCGCTCCTTGGATCCGGGCCGGGGGGCGTGGCCTCGAGGAGGAGCCACCCGGGCCCGATGATCGGCGTTTCCTGGACGGCCCCGGGCGTTTGCTGGACAGCCCTGCCCTGTCTGGTTCCTCCCCTGGGTGCGCTCCTGCTCGACGACTTCGCGCGTCGGGGGTGTTTGCTGTGCGGGTGGTTTCTCTGCTCTCTCTTTCTCTCTCTTGTTTTTTTGTTTTCCCTCTCTCTCTCTCTTTTATTTCTCTCTATCTCTCTCTCTCTCTCTCTCTCTCTCTCTCTCTCTCTTTCTCTATATTATCTCTGTCTCTATATGAAATTTTCCTCTCTCTTTATATTTCCCTCGATTATATTTCTCTCGCTCTGTATATATTTATATATATGCAAGACTGCATTGGCGCTTCGCGCCATGCACCTTGGTTCTTAAAGCTCGGCATGCAGGATAACCAAATATAGCGATGATTCATTGTTGCCGTTTGCGCCATCGTCGTTATAGTAATGTTATGTATTATCCTTATACTTCCTCTCCTCTTACTCGTAATCTTCCTTGTCTGCGAGCCACTCCTTGTCCTCATCCCCAGTTTTTATTGCAGGGGCTCCTCTTAGGAGGTGTTCTTGGGCCCCTCTCAAAAGCTTTTTGGGGACCTCTGGGGGCCTCCTGGGCGCCTTTTGGGGGCCTCTGGGGGCTTC